ATATATATATATATATATATATATATATATATATATATATATATATACAAATTCAATTACCATTCACTCACATGTACATCATCGAAACAGCTTTTATCAAAATTATGAAACAAAATATTAAGTATCAAATATTAGTATAAGATTATTAGCTTTTCCAATACATCATAAGTAGTATACATTTAAATGAACTATATTTAAATAACAAACAAAAAACATAATTTCAAAAAATGGATATATGGTTTATATAAAATATAAACTTTTGATAGATTAGCAGTTAAATTAATATAAATTAAAGTTAGTCATATTTAAAAAAAAATTGTTAATTAGGTAACTATTTGAATTAAAATCGCCATACTCTAATCTGTCCATGCGACAATACTTACTTTTAAGCTGTATTACCTACCACTAGTGAAATAGAATATGTAGAAATCAACCACATAATATGTAGAATGAATTATTTACAATCAATAGTAAATGTTATGTACAAAAATGTTCGGGTTGCCCCAGAGAAGTTAAAACCTTAAAAACTCTGCGAGATTTAAGTACTAATTTTTTACCAACTTTTCAATTTTTAGTCGTAAGTGTAAAATTCCTTCAAAGCCCTACCTTCATATTAATGTCGATGCACATCAAATATAAACAATATTAAATATCGATATATATCTGCATTCAAGGGCGCCCATATGGGGGGGCAAGGGAGGGACATGTCCCCTTCTGGAAAATGTCAAAAATCATGGAAAATTGTTTACTATGATCAGAAAATATTTATTTAAATAGAATTTAAAAATTTAATTTAATAGATGATTTATTTAGTTTGGAACATCAGGTTATCAGTTATAAATAACAATTATTACAATATATATTGCATTACTTTTATGGTAAATTGGTTAAATAATTATTATTTTATAGTCTTCCAGTCAGGGCTGGGCAGGTTAAAGATTTTTTTAACCCGTTAAGTTATTTTAAAATAATAAAGTTAAATTAAATTAAAAGTTACTTATTTTTTTTCGTTAATTCGGTAAGTTAAAAATTAACTTTGAAAAAAAAATAACTTAATTTAGTTTAAAGTTAAAATTCTATAATTTGCAAAATTAAAAAATTGCACACATATTATTTTTACGCTCAAGAAAATTACTGGGGAAATTTAAAATAATACATACAGAGGCGTAGCAAAGCCATTTTTTTAGGGGTGAAACTTAGTCCATTTGGCCGACTGACTTAAAAAAAAATGTGTATACATGTATAAAATATGTTTTATTTTTTTATTTTACAATATTGTCAGTGTTCTTACTTTAATATTAAAAATTAAAACTAATTAAACTTATTTATACTTAAATAAACTTGAGCTTTAGAGGATGAACTTTACAGTAAATAAAACAATGGATATTAAAAGTTATTAAATACAAATTCTTCTTGTTTTTAAAATTGACCATTGTTTAGCAATAATATCTATTTTAATATCATCTATTATATCTTTTTCCGAGGAAAGTAACAGCAAATCGCTTAAACGGGAGTCACTCTGGGTTGTCTTTAAGTAATTCTTTACCAATTTCAACTTGCTAAATAAACCCTCATTTCTAGCAACAGTTACTAAAGCTGTAAATAGCAAACGTACGAGAAATGGGCATAATTATTGCATGTAATAATTTTTATTATATTTTCAATTAAAAAAAAATTGTATGTTGTAGATATACCTACGCAACTAAAAATGAATATATCATGTGTAAACGCAATATTTTTATTTATTGTTGCTATAAATATCTGTACATATATTTACCAATACAACTAAAACACTGCCTAGTGCCTATAATAATAATTTATTAAATCAAAAATATAAATAAATGTATTGATTTACTTTAAAAAAAAATACGTAATTTTATTTTTAATTAACAAGGTATATTTATATTAATGATTCAATGTCAGGCCTGGCTCAAGGGGTAGGCGATATAGACCCACGCCTAGGGCGGCATTTTTCCTGGACAATTTTTATGTATAAAAAAAAATATTTGATAAAATATTTACACGTAAGGGGCGGCAAAAACTAAATTTCGCCTATGTTTAAACACTAGAGCCGGGCTTGTTCAATATTTTGACCTAGCCACAGGGCCGGCTCAATGTGGTAGCAAAATAGGCAGCCGCCTAGAGCGGCACTAGTGGGGGGGGGGGGGCGGAAAAATTCAAATGAACCAAAATAATAATATTTATAGTATGTTGAATTGTATATGTTCATTGTTCAAAATATACTAAACAAGTTTACCGAGAACGCACCAGTCATAATACTGCATGAATATAAATAAAACGGCGATAACAGTGGTACATGCATTAGTCGACCACAGATGAATACACGTTCTTATCGAGTTCAGAATTATTATGTAATTGGAAAATAATGGTCAATGACACAATTAGTCCCGGACTTTTAGCCGCCCGCCAAGGTACCTTTCCAGCCGCAGCTTGGAAACCGTACCTTAACACGTAAATAATTTTTGCTGTAGACTGTGGAGTGATAGTGATAGTGTATCAAGTGTATGAACGTGTACAATTTTTATTATAATACGTTTTTAACTGCAACACTTAATTGGTATTAATTTTGTTAAATTATCACGTTAATATTTATTGAATATGTCAGAGCAAAAACGTATACGGTTATCAGGAGCTGCATAACGAAAACAAAAATTAAAACGTGATGAAGAAATTAAAAAAAACTCTGGTTCCTTTGAAAAATATTTGAAAAAAAATAATGAACTTTAAATAATCCAGAAACACATTCTAAAATTATTTTAGAAGAATCAAATACCTTAGAAGTTACTGACAATGAAATAAACACAACTTTGAAAGAATCAAATACCTTAGAAGTTACTGACAATGAAATAAACATAACTTAGGAAGAAAATACGAGTATTAAATATAATGAGAATGAAAATAACATATCTGACCCCGGGACATGGCCAGCGATTTTTTCAGATTCATTACGACTTCAATTAGTAAAAACAGGTCCCACTAAACCAAATAAAGATTTCAAATATCCTAGAGATGCGTTAAATCGACGGTTTCCAATTTCAATTTTAAGTAAAACATTAAAAAATGGTGAAGTTATAGAACATACGTAGTTAATTTATTTTATTAAAAATGATGTTGTGTACCGTTTTTGTTGTAAAATATTATTTAGTAGTGAAAATTATGCATTGACTAAATTTAACTGTAATGATTGGAAAAACGTACACAATATAGTTAAAGAACATGAAACAAACAAAATACATTTTAATTCTTTAAAAAAATGGATGGAACTGTCTGCTAGATTAAATAGCAATCAAACCATAGATGCTGCCCATCAACGTGTATTAAATAATGAAACTCGGCATTGGCAAAATATATTTGAGCGTTTAATGGCAATCATTGAATTTCTTGGTAAACAATGTTCACCTCTTCGAGGTACAAACGATGTTCTTTACGAAAACAATAATAGCAATTTTCTCGGACTAGTACAGCTTCTGACAAAATTTGATAGTGTTTTATCAGAACATTATTAATTTTTTAAAAAAAATTTGATGTGATGAGAGTTTTGATAAATTTTTAAAAGATGCTGAAACCGTAGCTCTTGAATTGGATATTGAGGCTTCTTTTACGCAACAAACTTCTATACGCCCACGAAAACCGTGTTCTTTTCTTATGAACAACCAGATGAACCCATAATTAATTTAAAAACTAAATTTAAAGTTGAATTATACTTTTATATATTAGACATAGCTCTCAATTCTCTCGAAGAAAGATTTGAACAATTACATAACCACTGCGATAACTTTAAATTTTTGTATGATATAAGTAGTCTAAAAAGTATAACGAAAGATAACATTGTGAAAAATTGTATGGATCTTCAATTGCTACTCTCAGAAAATGAAAATGTTAGTAATTCAGATATTGATGCCATAGAAATGACAGATGAGTTAGTAGCAACATCCGAGTTATTAAAACCCAACAGTACTACATTAGAAGTGTTACAGTTTATTGTAAATAATAACAATTTTGTACCAAATGTAGCTGTAGCACTTCGAATTATTTTAACTATGCCTGTGTCGGTCGCATCTGGTGAACAGAGCTTTTCAAAATTAAAAATAATTAAAAACTATTTAAGGCCTTCTATGAATCAAAAAAGGTTAAGTGATCTTGCTACAATTTCTATTGAAAAATAAGTAATGGAAAATCTGGAATTTAAAAGTTTACTGATTGATTTTGCCCAAGAAAAGGCTCACAAAATTAATTTTATTTAATATATTTTTAATTTTTTAGTTAAATATTTGTTAATGTTAAATTAAATACATATTTTTATTAATTTATTTCATACCCAACATTCATTTTAATTTTATTATTATTATTTTATATTTTGTAAAGAAAACTTAAGTCAGTCAAAACATTTTATTTTGTTTAAATAAACAATGGTTCATAAATAAAAATGAATGTCCTTATTTTATTCAACCCCTTCCTCTCCAAAAAATTAACTATTGCATAGGGTAGCGTAAATTAGATTTGCCTAGGGTGGCAAAAAACCTTCAGCCGGCCCTGCCTAGCCAATCATTTATAGTGTGAAATATTATATTTTGTCTTTAATAAATCTATTCTATTCAATCTTAAAAATAAAGTATTAAAATTATAAATAATATTTAAAAATTACAATTTTGGCGATATGTAGTAAAATACGAAAGTCAATAATAGTCACAATGTAATCCTTAATTCTTATTACATATCATATTATACTATAAATATTATATATAAAATTACCTATAAATATATACCTAATATAAAACTAATTAATAATTTTTATATTTTTTCATGGATTTAGATCCTGGATTTGGAGATTTATACGGAGTACCCTTGGATCATCGAAATATTTGTAAACCAAAAAATCGGTGAGAAAATATTTAATTAATAAATAAATAAGTTTATTATAAAAGTATGTATAATAAAACCCTTCTTTAGTAAATATTGAAGTGAAATTTAATGTTTTCTTGTATCAAAAATATTGCATAATTCATTAATTTTTTAAAACAGTTTCATATTTTTTTTTTAAACATATTTTTTATCTGTTATATGTATTGAATAAATAAATTTAATCATTATTTTTATAATTGAAAGTATAGATAAATACAACTAATAAGTTTTTTTATCCATTTTTTAAAAAATATTAGTTTTGACACCAACATGTTCAAAGTAATAGAAGAGTAGAGTAGATATGATTAATTGATTTTTAAATACTTGAATATATGCCTCGATGGCCAATCCTACAGAATCCAAAGTATACAGAATACCAGCTGAAACAAAAGATTATTAAATTTGCATTAACATTCTAACAATAAAGTTAATAATAACCAAGATAACATTACATTTTCTTAAACCTATTAAGAAAACTATTATTGTTTTATTTTTACTTTTCATAAATTATATATTTTTACTTATTATGTAAAATATTATTTACTCAAATAATTTTATAGTATCCATATCCGCTATTGATAATATTTTGTTTCACATGAATATATTTACTGGGGAATAAAGTTATTGAGAGTATTTCCATTATTAAGTGTTCACTAACTGAGTTTTTACTTCATTATTTTAATATTTTAGAATTAATTTTATTATTAATTATTAATTATTTACATGATATTTAAAATATTAATTATAGTACAATATTATAGGAATTGTTTTTTGTATCAAGAATTGGTCAATATGATACATTCATTAACACAATTAACACCAGAAGGAACTTCATATTCTATGCATAATGGATAAGAAAAACTATGATTGTCACTAGGAATCAATACATCATATAATATAAATAACAATTCAAAATAGATGAATATATTCCAAACTCAATCATAAAATGTGTAAATAATTACAAAGTTATATTTTATTGGTTTTATTTTACCCAAAAATATAAACATTTTTAAGTTCCATTATTGTTTTTTTTAATCCAAATTTTATAAATTTTAGATAAAATCATGTAATATATTAATCATTTCTTATCTAATAATTCAATAATTGTGTTGACGCGGCACACAGGTGATGGTGTGTGTGTGCACGGTCGCGGTGCGGTAAACCGAAATTGAATATTAAACAAAAAAAACAACTTCGACTTAGGGTGACACAAAATGTGTATTTATGTGAACACACAGTTTAAGTTGATGAGAAAAAAACAATTAATAATAATAATGATCACAACAACGTCCACCGTAGAAAATATCACAATCAAAAAAAAAAGATAATTATGTGAGTCGAGAACGTGCGATGTGTCTCCGTACACGATCTCGGAAAAACAGCCCGGTTAAAAGGTGGTACCTGTCGGACGTCGTAGCGACCGCTCGCGTCCCCTGTCCGGTGATGGATGGGTGGACGGGGGTCGCTGCGGCGTTGCGTGCCGCGGAGTGGCGGTTGATGAGAAAGATAAGGACACGGTCGGCGACTGCCGTTTCGATAACGGCTGCCGCACGGGTCCGCGTCAGTGTACTTAAATTTTACTAATTATCTATAAAAAACCTGATTCTGTCACTATTTACAATGTTGAACTTGAATGTTCATGAAGTTCTTATATCAAAATTACTAGGATTACAGTAATATAATTACTATTATTATATACATGGTTGCATACTGAATAGTATTATAAGTATTATTTTGGACACGGTGGCATATTATTATGTACATAATGTAATGTACTTTACTGATAGGGTAAGTAGAGGTTCCACTCCTGTCGAGTCATGAATTATAACATATTTACTATCATAATTTTTTTTTTTATGAATATATAATATATATGTTACAGTTAAACCACAAAATCTGTCAAAACTAGTTTTAACTAGTCAAAAGTTAGTCATAACTAGTTTCCACAAATACCTTTAGCAGGATCATATTGGTGAGTTAGTATTATTTAATGAAAATCTGTAATGCTTATATTGATAGGTAAAACTAGAGAAAAGTAATAGTAATAAATCAATTAAAAAAAAAAATTTTATTTTTATACATGTAGTTTAAAACTATGATTATTTTCATTATTCATAGTTTGCGTTATATTTGTAATATTTATAATAGCAAAACATTACATAAATAGTTTTCTACACTAGTAGAAGTTGATCAATGAAATTAATTAATTGAATAAAACATTAATATCATAAGAAATAGCTTATTAATATATGTAAATAAATTAAATTATACTTTTGTAAAGCAAAAAAAGGAGATCGTGCGAAATCAAAAATAATTTAAATTTAAATAAATAGTAGGTATTGTTTTTTTCCATCACGTTTAAATAATAATTATAAATTAAAAATAAAAGATCGTCCATATTCCAAAAATCATACTGACAAAAATAGTAATTAGCAGAATTAACTGCTATAAGCAGCAACCGTTTTGATCACAGATAAAGTTTTTTGATACACAAATGACAATCTGTAAATACAATAGAACATATTAAGTAATAATTTAAAAACAATTTTTGTTTTTTTATACTTATATTTGCTGAAAATATTATGTATTTATGTAACCATTGATATTTTAATAATTTTGACAGTGAAAAGATTTATTCAAACCTTAATTAATACTTACTTTGAATCAGCTTTGCAAATAGACATGTGATTTAATGGCAATTCATAAACTTCACCCACAGATGGATCTAAGAATAAATAGTTTAGAATGAAAGAAATATAATCAAAATATGGTTGAATGTGTGTAAAATTAATTATTGTATAGTTGAATACACATTTTACATAGGAAAGCTTAAACAGTTAAACTGAAAATTATTTAACCAATTTTTTTCTGAAATATTTTTAAAGTAGTACTTTTACTGCATTTTTATCTCAAAAATAATGACTACATTACTAATATAAATTATATTACTGTTTAAAAAAATCTTGAAATAAACATTATTATTTTAAATCATTTAAAACATTTAATTTAATGATGAAGCTTACCGGCTGCATTTTTTGGTACACACAGAATTGGTACCTTTAAGGCAGTAAACTCTGTAGGAAGACTTTCAGCAAAAGTTATAATCTTTATTGGATTTTCATGTAAACATTCAAGAAAATCAGTATGAAGCTGCACTAATTTGGGAGAATCTATTAATTTAAAAATATATTTTTATATAATACTTTGAATTACATTAATGAAATAAACGAAAAGTATTTACCAGTTCTGAGTTCATCAACTTCTACTGATGGCCACAAAAAGAATCGATATGCACTGTTCAGAGTAGCCAATGGAGATCCATGATGAGGAGTACTGAAAAAGAATACAGATCTCGTCTTTTCAAAAAGCTTTCTTTCATTTGGATTTTTACTGTTACGTGCTAAAAAAAAAAAAAATTAATATTTTTTTATATTTCGAATTATCATATATTCATTTGTTAATTAAAAACAAATACCTGCAACTAACATATTTTTCACTAAAAGTCCTCCCATAGAGTGAGCCAAAAAAATTATTGGGCGATCTCCAATACCAACAGCCAGCAATTGTTTCATTAATTTATCTGTGCGACCCTCCAGAGTACGATGACTAGAAAAATGCATAATCAGTATTAGCTCACACTTTGAAAGAACCAAAAATTAACTTAAATAATAATATTTTTTTTGTTTCAGCGGACAAGATGGCAACCATTCGGATAGTGTTGTACTATAATCAACACCAATCACACGAAGGCCTTCTACATCGTTGGGTAACCAATCAGATGGCCAACATTGACTATAACCTTCATTAAGAGCTGTATTTCTTACAGTAGAGTTACTCCTAGAGAAAAAAAGTTAAATTTAGTGCAATTTAAATAAATTATAAAAATAGAGCTATACCCATTTAATGAATATGGCCCATTTCCTTTTGCGTTTTCTCTTTCTGGTATATCATTCAAAACAAATTCAAAATTGCTTCCAATCATATCCCATTCTCTAGCTTTCACTTCTTTGTAACTATCTAAATATTCTTGCATATCTTCACCACCTGGTATTTTTTTGGTTGCAGTAGTTAAAGAATTATGAGATTCTACTTTATTACTCATATCTATCATAACATGTAATACATAATTAAAATACAGTTTTTGTTAGTTTGAGGTCTATAAATTAAATTACATGAAATTAATGAACAATCTTTTGATTAAGAAATAAATAAATAATAAAATTTTTTTTTTCTACAAATAATACAAATAAATATTAGAGAAAAAATTACAATGCATACAGTAAATACATTAAATGTGAAAGCATTATATTTGAAAGTCATAAATTAATTAATTTTTTATAATCTTCTTCAATTAATAATCATTATTCAAGAACAATTGAGAACCTACTACTAGATATCAACCTAAAATATAGACTTAAGATGACTCCGAACAGCCTAAGGGTAGAACTAATAAGCACTAATAACCTATAGGGATATCGAAAATATAAGAAACTGTAGAGTGCAAATTCGGTGACATACAAGACAATGAACACAAAATGCAAAAGGAATGAACTCTTCAAGGAACCAAAGACCCAGGTTATTAAGCTGATAAACTATTTGTTTAAAAAAGAAATATAACATTGTTGAATAACACAGAGAAGATTAATAATTATTGAATATTTAAATATACTAGATAAATAAACTTACCAAAAAGACCAAGAGGTTCATTTTTCATTAAATATTTTTCCCGCCATGAAAAGCTAACACCACCCAAAAGGCCATGTACAAGAACTATATCGATTTTAGTATCTTTCTGACATCTATTTTTTGGATGTAGTAAGACAGTTTGCTTTCCAAATGAATAATTTCCATTGATTGGATCTTCATCATCCATATTTAACAGAGTTCGGTTGGCCCAGGATTGAATTCTAAAATTTTGATGGGTTTTCCAATTAAATAATACACTGATCCATCCTAAATCATTGGAAAATAAATTAAAACTTTATAAAGTTAATAATAAATGATAATGATGAACATCAGTCTTTTAATGTTTTCTTTAGCAAAATAAATAAATAAATCTTCAATAATAAATATAAATTACAAAAATATGTTTGCAAAATCATACCAGTCAAAAAAATATCTTCAATTAGATTTTTGTTCAAAGATGCAACGGATAATAATTTCCCGATTTCTTCCGCAACCTCTTCATCATATTTTAAATATTGATATAAAGCCATTAAAATTTGTAGGCCTCCTAACTTCACCATATCTATAGAAAATGTTACCATTTCTTCAAAATTGTAAATTATTTTTAATTAATATAACATACCCGAAACTGCTTTTTCATTATTACAATGGTGACGTAAAGCATTTAAGCTCAACTGTAAAATGTTATCATTGTCAATTTGGATATTTCTAAAATTAGATGGTATATCTTCTGGGTGGTAATAATCATGGTGTTTATCCTATTAAAAAAAAAAAAATGAACATACAAACATACATAAGACAAATTTTATTAAAATTATTTTGAATACTAAGAGGGCATTGTATTTTATATTTTTAAAATTTTCATTTTTGCTTACTTCAAATGCATGAGCCACAAAGTAAGATAAACATTTATGTTCATTTAGTGTATTTAATTGAATCAACAAATCACGAATTTTTTTTAAAATCTCCTAAATGAAAATGAATTTGATTAAAATTCATGTACAGTAAAATAATTAAAATTATTAAGACTTGTACATCTTTTGTCCAATTTATTTTTCTAGGAGGAAGAAAGAATTTTGGATTTGCATTGGCCGATCGAGCTAAACCAACCAAAGTATGTGCTTGACTCATTTGTGCTAGATGTTGAAAATCAGAATCTAAAATAAAAGCAATTAACATATTTAGAAACTATTAAACAGGAAAATATGGAATCACATTTAGAAATATTTACCTTTTAGATGAACCATAGTTGTAAGTCGTTGAGTAGCTGCCCAAGCTAGCTTAGAATTTTTGCATTTGTTGATCATTTCTAAAAGTTTCCAGGCTTTTCTATGTTTGAAATCATTCCATTTCCGTAAAAAAAATACAGGAGGATTTGTTGGCTGGATTATGCTGTGGCTATCAATGATTTGATACTCATCGAGTTCTATGCAAATTTTAATTTTAAGTATTTTAGATATTAATCATTAATAATCATAATAATCATTTGTTTTTTTCTAATTCAGTTAAAATTATAAGATTACTAGAAAAGACATGCGATTTATGTTATGTTAATCCTATCAATATAAGAAAAGTAAATATTTTTACTTAACGATGATTACTATAAATAAATAATTGCATTAGTTTTTAGCACATAATGAACTTTTTTCAATATATAATAATGAAAAGTTCAGTGAAATATTATAAAAAAATTAAAATGTTTGAAAAATAAATGTTTTAACTGTAACAATGACTAATGATTTAACGAATATTTTTGTTTATCTAACAATTTATGATATACAATTATAATCATAAATAATAATTTACTGATGTGTCATAAGTATTTTATATAATACTATTAGTCTATTTCTATCAATAATTTTTACATTACAACTCATTGAAACCATAGTTCCTAGGTTCAATTATATTACAATTATATTACATTATGTAAAACATTTAATTTGATATAATCCATATTCCAACTCTTGTTTCAAAATTGTCAAGCTAATGATAAGTATAAATATTATAGTTACAGAAGAATGAAGATACAACACATTTGCCAAGTCATTATTAAAATGTTTTATCTTTCTATTTTCCAATTAATAAATCTAAGTCCACTTCTAATTTAAATTAATCACCAAGGTTACAAATCATTTAAAAAAATAGGCTAATGGATTAGTACTTTATATTATTTAATGCAAAATGTTGATATTTTATAATTTAATTGATTTCTACGTTATATGTTTTCTAAATTACTCATGAGTGTTATTTAAATGCTACATAAGAGATCTAATGGGTTTTAATACATATAATTTTTAACCACATTAAAAAATTCTAGAACAGATAAATAGATATGAGATGATGATGTCAGTAATATTGATTCTAATAACATTTATTTTGCTTAGCAAATTCATTCTGTATCTTTACCAGTGAACGCTGCTTTATCAATGAAAACGTATTCTGGAACTTTGTAGTTGAGGAGTATCGGGTCTTTTTGAACACAACGTTCGATGGCCAGTACAGTTTCGCGTACCTCATACGCAAGCCACCCCAGGCCGCCAGTGAATACGCAAAAGGCAACAGATTCAGTAAATAGACGGATACGCTTGCGGTTGCGCAATACGCACCCTGAAAATTTGGCTAGTGCCCTGTGAAACTCGCTAAACGGCATCGATTTGAAGAATAAGTACGTCTGACTTAGCATGTCGTCCGTCGCCGATTGGACGCTGACATCATCACTGCAGACAACTGACCAGCAAGAGATGTAGCCATCGACGAAATAACAAAACTTACGTTTAATGTATGGTACACAACGTTAAACGACGATGACTGCGAGGAAAAAGACAATAATTCTTCACCCGGTTACCAGCGACTGCGGACAAAGTATTAATAGTAGTAAAGCACAGGTAATGGTGAACGATAATAGACTTTTTAGACTTTTGGAGGACAAGTATATGGTAGGTGAGATTAACAGGTCTTAGTACTCGGGGTCCTAGATCGGAAGTAAATAGGAACAATGGCTTCGAGGAGGAGTACTCATGAAGAATATGTAGAAATATATAGAATATATAGAAGAAGAAATACGAACGATGAACGAACAGCGAACGTCTGGTAGCAGGAAAACTTTGTCGTCCGATCCATATTCATGACGTCAATATGATAGAGCTGATAAAGAACGTACGACTATTGTTTGCATCGATGAAAACGGCCGAGGTAAATAACAACATAGGAACATCCCAACATTCTTAACGACCGCTGCCAATTTTTGTCATCCCGTCGTCACTTGGCGACGTAGCGTCAAAGCAACAATACAACGTTATCACGGACGCGACTGATGTTTTTGTTTACACCGTCCGAACCGATAACAGGCCCCGCGAGATAACGATAACATCGCGTCGTCCGAATATGACGTTCGGCTGTTCCCGTCGTCGCCGTCGCATCGGGTCGCAAGTGCCGCGGCGTCTCGTGCTCCTCTCAACAGTTGTGCGTTATTTATTTCCATTTGTTTGTCTCGCGTTCACTACCTACTCAAGCTTTTACGTCGTTATTGTTACCGTTCCATTTTTTCGTCGTGAGGCGTGGTCGCGAAGCCGTGTCACGAAAGCAGTTAACCCAAGCGACACGGTAACGGTATTAACGGCCGGCCAGATTCTCGTCGCCGAACATCCGCCCTGGTGGTGCACTGCCGGCCGGCCATGTCTGCGTCGAGCGTGACAGGCAGCTTCGATCATATCGTCGACTCTGACAGCATGATGCTGTTCGACTGGAACGATATCAAGGATGAAATCAAGCCCAAATACTTGGTGGACATCGACGACAACGAGTGAGTATTGAAATGTCTCGTCGACTTAAACGTTACAAGAGCAGTTATGTACCAAACCTTTGGGAACACTAAATGTTGTGTCACCAACTATCATTTAAAATGTTCAACTGAGGAGTTTTATTTAGGTACCGTTTTCTTATACTTTTGTATCCTCTTTATTGGACACTATTTCATGAAACAGATACAATATTATCATGGAAACCAATGATTAAAACTATTATACGAACCTAGATGTTATATTACCTACAGTATTCATTTTGTAAAGAGGAATATCACTTGTTCGATAAACGGAGTATTTATAAGTAGGCTTAAAAAAGTATCGTTACTTGACAAACACTGACCGTTTTAAAATCAGCTTATATTTTGAGTGTTATCAAATACTGTCCCTTTGTATTTATATTTTTATTTTTATTTAGTTTTGTGAATATTTAAATTTAAAAAATATATTAACTAGATCAGAGCACATAAACTTCATTAGATGTAACTAAACCGTGAATTCTTCCAATAGTCCTTTATCATCTGAAATTATTCTATGGTATCTTATCCCATGGTACATATGTAAAGTTTTAGTGGAGCATAAAAAAAAATTGTGTATATTTATACTTAAAATAATAATGATGATATTATTAAAATAAGAACTCATATTATTTTTCCAGGAGGAGGCAAGTGCCTCTTTCGCCTAATAATTTTTTTGTATGTTTTTTTTTTCTTATTCTTGTCCATTATTTAAAACAAGTGGAGGCGCAATGTTAAAAGTTCTGGTCCTCATGTAACCTTAATATCTAAAAATCTCACTAATAATTAAATAATACAAATTGTTATTGGTGTGTCCTTATTTTGTATATACTTTATGACTATTCAGAAAATCAAAATAACTCACTTGCCTATTCTATAACAAATTTGCTATGAAAATATGAAAACCTGAAAACATGGTATTTCTAATCCAACACACAAATCATCACTTTTTGAGTTCTGTAAGTTTTATATATTTCTATGTTGATCAATAATAGTGTTAACATTGAAAAAAAAATGTACTATAAATCATTTCTAGAGCCCTTTGATTTATTGTTTAAATATCCCAGTATAATTCCATTTCTATAAGTACTCAATTATGTTAACCTGAATTTAATGTACAAATAATGTTCTCACTTTTATTTACTTATATACTCCTTTAGACTTAATATTATATTTGTTCCAGGTTGTTTCCAAAATATGATGAAAATGTATTTGAAAATATACTTGATGAAGAGGTTATTGAACACAAAGATATTAAAGTTGAAGAGTGAGAATTAATTATTATTATTATAATTTTTTTGTTTTATCAATTGTATTAAATGACATTTATTTCATATTGTTATATATTTTTAGATTTATCATTTTTAATGAAATTCCAACTACTCCGAATGTTGTTGAACAAATTGAATTTAAATGCACTGTTTGTTCAAAAAAATTTGGTCATTCTGTGGATTTGAATCGACATAAAAGAATTCATACAGGGGAAAAGCCATTTAAATGTGAAAATTGTCATAAAGCTTTTACTCAATCATCACATTTAATTGCTCATCGTAGAATACACACCGGTGATAAACCATATAAATGTGACTTATGTGATAGAGCTTTTGTAAATTCTTCTCAATTAACAACACATAAGAGAATGCATTCAGGAGACAAACCTTATAAATGTCCATCATGTGATAAAGCATTTGCTAGTTCTTCAAATTTATGTGCACATAAACGGACTCATATAGGTAATAAACCGTTTAAATGCCCAGATTGTTTTAAAACATTCTCAGAAATGTCTCATTTAAATCGACACAAAATTATACACACAGGGGAAAAGCCATTTAAATGTGATTTGTGTGATAAACCTTTCGCTCGGTCATCAGATTTATTAAGACATAAGAAAGCGCATGCTGGTATCACACCATATAGTTGTGATTTTTGTAACAAAGCTTTTGCTAGTAGATCAGATATGATGAGACATCAAAGAAGGCATACCGGTGAAAAAATATATAACTGTAAGATTTGTTTAAAACATTTTGCTGATTATTCTACAATGGTTAACCACCATAGAACACACACCGGAGAAAAACCATTTGTGTGTAAGTTTTGTGAGAGATCTTTTGCCTATTCCTCAAGTTTGATTGCACATAAAAGAAGTCATACTGGAGATAAACCATTTAAATGTGTAGTTTGTCAGAAATCATATGCAAATTCTTCAAATTTAGTTGCTCATCTATCTGTTCATACTGGAGAACAACTCTTCAACTGTAATGTTTGCCAAAAGTCATTTGCTAATTGGTCTAATTTATCTAAACATAAAAAAATCCATGAAAAACGAATACCATATGTGTGTGACTTTTGTGACAAGAAATTTGATGATGTACTTGAAATGGTCAAACATAAGTCGACCCATTGGAATAATATAGCTGAAGTTTATTCTATTAGTTCTTTTGGTTCTTTTGATAATAATACTATTTATACATAATATGTTAAACAATTTAAAGGAACTGTGCATCTAAGAAATATTAAAGTATATTTTATCCTTAGAAGTCATTGATTTAAGGTGAATTATTGTTCTGTTATCAAAACATCACTTAGTTAATAAAAATTCTTTCATTACATTTTTATTAAATCAATATTTAAACAGGAGTATATTTTTTAGTGTTTATTTTTTAAATTTGATTGATGAATCAAGTATGAACCACTTTATTATGTTTTTTTATTTTTTATATAATTCCGCAGATCTCAAAACCATTTGATATTAGATTGTTTGGTTTGGTAGTACTGTAGTTTTATATTGGTTTGCTTTTTGGATACACATTGGGTGAGGAAGCGTTGTCGGTTTTTTCTCTCTAGGCAGTCTTTCTGTCTTGAAAGCGAAACTGCTAGTGACTGGATTTAAACTGGCCACTCTACTAATCCTGCTTTACCATGACACTCTTGAATTTTTTTATTATATCATCTAGTAAGTAATTTTAATAAAATAATTAAAACAATTTAAATATATTTATTTAATAGTTTTACAAACTTAAATCCTAAATCCATTAATTGTACTATATTATGATATAGTATTTGATAAAACTATTTCTAGATATTACATGGTTGTATATGTGTTAAAAAAATGTACTTTATTATCTATTTTAGAAATACTAATTCTAGTAAAATCCTATATCAATTACAATTCTGAAAAATTAGAATTTATTAAAACATTTGTACTATTTAAAAATGTATAAAAACAATAGGTATTATAATATTCAAAAATGTTTAAAAAAAGAGCCTACTTATGTATATTTTAATTATTTAACCTAACCTAAGTTATAATCATAAAATTTGATTATCTTATTTATAATGATCAAAAATAATATAATTTAGATTCAAAATATTTTATTTGCATTTAACTATGAGAACTACTGATATGAAAATATTTCCTCATCTTAGACTTTATTCAAAACAATAAAATTATGATGTACGACAAAGCTAAGGAGGTCAGTACTTTAAAATTACTAAAATAGTTTTATTGTTTAGTAACTAGAAACAACTATAGTTATAATAAATTTAGATATGTAGTTATTATCATAATGTAAATTAAATAGTTTGAATAACTGTATTGCCTATTTTAATTATTTGTATGTATATATTAAATATTATTTTTTTAATAAATTTAAATAAATAAAAACTAAAATGGTTAATTATTTTGTTTACCACTTGTACATTATCTGCAGTAAAGTATATATTAAATGTTTTATGCAATTTGTTATATCTAATAGGTAGGTACCAAATTGATGAAATGGATTCGGATCACAGTCTGTGATGGAAAGTGTTCGCCACTCACGAATCGCAACATAGTATGTTGAACATACTATATAGGGGGTCCCAGTGGCGTAGCCAGGATTTTTAAATAGAGGGGGGGGCCAACCACTTTTTTGGATAAGTAAGGTAAGAGAGGATATGAGAATTCACCCTTAACCCCCCCCCACAATCTACCACCAAGTTTGTAAACGTAATTCAAGCATTTTATCAAGTTATCGTTCAGACCTCGAACCGAACGGTTGTGCGCTTCGTTTAGAGCAATTCATATCATTTTTCCAGCTAATTAAGTTCATAGTCCATACTATATGTTTTGAATTTAATTACTCATTATAACAAAATCGATTTACATAATTAAAATTTAACTAAATTATCATATTACACATTAATTATATCCAATAAATCATGCCTATGTGTAGCAGCTGTACTACAAATATAATAAAAGCACCTTCTGTAAATTGTAATGATTGTAAACAGTTTTGGCATGCTAAATGTCAAAAACTCAACAAGGAAGATGCAGATTATATAAAAGAAAGTGGTACCATTTGGAGATGTGACAAATGTACTGCTGAACGAAGAGCATCACTTCAAATGGAAAATAAGATAACAGAAGAAAATACAAATTTATCAGAGATAAAAAGCATTATCTTAGAATTTAAAGATAGTTTCCAGAATTTCAAAGATGAGTCCTATAGTAATTTCAATACTTTAAATAATAAAATAAATATGATCGATCAAATTTTGACTGAAAATAATCTCTTAAAATCACAAATAAACCAACTCGAAAACAAAATTGAAATAATGGAACGCCGCTTAATAGCCAACGATGTTGTCATCGATGGAATACCGGAAAATAAGTTGGAAAACTGCGCTGAGTTAGTACAACAAATTGGTAAAGAATTAAAAATAAACATAGATAAAACTTTGATAAATGACTGTCACAGAATTGGACCTATAAGAAATGGTGAACACCCGAGAAGAATTTTGGTAACTTTTATGAGTCAACAAGAAAAAGTTCAAATTCTAAAGGCTCGCCAAATTAATAGAAACTTTTCTACGAAATATATTAATATCCAACCTGACAAACCAATCTATATAAGAGAAAATCTAACTTCCAAAGGTAATAAAATGTTTAAAGAAGCCAGAGATCTACGTAAGCAGCTCAATTATCAGTTTGTATGGACAAAAAACGGCATCGTCTTCTTAAGAAAAAATGAAACAGATAAAATCATACGTATTGATAACGAGGATGTTATACAAAGTCTCAAATCTTAGAACAAACATTTAAACGCTACAAATTCCAATTAGTAAATATAAAAATCAATTACATTTCTATTACATGTTTTTTCTATTTATCCAATACTGTTCATCATATTTATTATACATATCCAAATTTACTTCATATATTTAGTTTAACCAAATTCGAAAATGTACTTATATATTATATATACTCACACACCTATTTAATCATATTATTATCTGTTATAACAACAAGCGCTCATTCATGTTATCATCCAGGGTATTTTCTGCGAATTTATTTTATCAATTGCTATTCTCTTTACAAAAGTACAATGTTCCATAACCCAATTAATTGCTTTATGATTCAATTCCAAATTATAAATAAAATTAAATACAATGATTAATTATAACACTGATTGTACATTAGCTCTAGATAATATTAATGAAGTAAACGTAATTGAATGTCTATGTGATAAACTTGATGCCATAATTTATAGACGAAACGCGATTAACATACTGTCAATGAACATCTGTAGCATTCAAAAACATTTTGATGAACTGTGCACTGTTTTAGATAGTATAGAAACTAAATTTGAGGTAATAATCTTAACCGAAGCCTGGCTAGGTCTAGATAATATATCAAGTAATAATTTTCAAATGAATGACTACACTGTACATTCAACTGAGCTTAATAAAAATAAAAATGATGGTATTATAATTTATTTAAAAAATACTTTAAATGATATTTATGTGTCAGAACTAAATACTCAAAATTTTACATCCCTAGAAGTTGGTTTTAAATTTGCTAAAATAGCCTTCTTAATCTATCCAATTTATCGGTCACCTAATGGCCATGTTGAAACTGCTTTAAAAGAATTAAATGATACAATATTGCATGACTCCACTTTAAAAATTGCTAAGTTTAAAATTATACTAGGAGACTTAAACATTGATCTACGTAAACCGTCAAAAAATAAAGAATACTATTTGCTATTGATGGCACGATTTGGATATTTACCCTTAATAGAAAACATCACTAGACCCTCTTCAAAAACACGTATAGACCACATATTTATCAAATCAAAATCTCTTAATAGTTTATTACCAATAGTTGTTCATTCTAACATTACAGATCATTATCCGACTGTACTTAGTATAGGAAACATATCTGATAACCGAAACAATAGACCAAATCCCTTAAAATTACTAAAAATAAATGATGATAAGTTAACTGACCTTATTCAAAACTACAATTGGTTAGAAATATCTGAAATTTACGATGTAAACGAAGCTACTCATTATTTTATTGAATCTATAAATAAACTTAAAGAACATGCTTCTTCAACAATATCTATTTCTTCTAAAACTAAAAAATTAAAGCCATGGGCCACAACTGATATTATCAACTCTATAAGACATAGAGATCGACTACACATACAGGTAAAAAAATCCCCACATAATCTAAAATTAAAAAATTACTACTTAAAATTTAGAAATAAACTAACAAATTCAATAAAAGAAGCCAAAATAGCATATTTTAAATTAGAACTAAAAAATTCAGGTAATAATATAAAACTTAAATTCAGTAAATGAAAATACCATTTAGGCGACTAGTCAATCCAGCCAAACGATTCATAATATCTAATGCTCACCCAATTATACCGCATGACATAATCACTGAACACCTATCATTCAATATTAAAACATTATCTCCAATATCATTCTTAAAAGCCGGTTTCCAAGACGAACTCTCACACATAAGTAGTTTTAGGCGACAGATATATATACACCCAGATGATATAGAAAAGGTACCCGGATCGTTAATAGTTAATTATGATAATACAGACTTCAGAATATTCTTAACCGATGATACACTCACTTGTTACCTATGCAAACAAACCGGCCACACATCCAATTACTGTAAAAAAGAATTAAACTCTACAAACACTACCATAAATATCACACAAAAAGCAACAACAGAAGAAAACACCCCCATCACTTCTTCGAACTCTACTCAAGAAAATAATAAAATCGAAGAATATGTTAACGACATCCCTAAAAACAGTCACAATCTAAACACATTAACTCAACCCAATACTACTAATACTACCACATGTCTACCCAATATACAAACCAAAAGATCTCCTCCATCATCAAGCTGCCCCTCATTACCTGCAACCCCGCATTCACCCGAAACATACCCAAACAACGAAAATCGTGATCAGTCCAAAAATCTAATAACTAAATTGATTGAATCCAAAAATACCAAGGGGAAACTCATAGAACCAAATAAAAAACTCAAAAAAAGCAATTCACTTGAAAATTTAACAACTGAAGACATTCTTAAATCCATCCAAAATATATTTTCTAAAAATGACGAAATTCCAATGTCATTTTCTCAATTCAATTACATATTAGAAAACTTCTCAAACAAAGCTATAAACATTCATACACTCTGTAATGAAATCATGGTAGACATATCTACAGTATCTACAACTATTGAAATAGTTAGGCCAATGATAAAAGACCGGGCACTAAAAATAAAACTTACTAAATTATCTAATTTATTATTCCAATCAACACCTCAAGAATAAGAACATATTAATAATAACCAAAAATAAAACAAAACCCTAATATTAACATCCACACACTATGTAATGAGATTAGTTCTAACATCTCTGAAATGCTAGATTTAGTTGAAAAAATTCGTCCACTAATCACTGATCGTGCAATTAAGTCCAGACTTACTACAGCATCTAACCAATTGTTTAAAACTCTCCCCCCAGAATAAGCAAAATCAGATCAACAATAACAATCCCATTTCTCTATACTATCAAATATATTTGTAAATAATATTTTTTTTTTTCTTTCTTCTTTCCTCTTTTAATCAACATGTCTTTAAATATTATACAATGGAACATAAATGGACTAGTTAAAAAACTAAGCAACATCCAAATACTAAACCACAAATATAATCCTATACTTCTCTGTCTTCAAGAAACCAACCTCAGAGATACTTATATTCCATCAGTGAAAAACTATAATCTCTACTACTCAAACCGTACAATATGTGATAGAGCTAGTGGTGGAGTGGCCATATTCGCTCGTTCTGACTACCCTACTACACAAATACCGATACAATCCCCTCTTAAAGCAATCGCTATCACTATTCAACTTGAATCCAACATCACTATTTGTAACCTGTACATCCCCAATCAAAAACCATTCTCGTCCTCAGATATAGAAAATTTAATTCAACAACTACCTCACCCTTTCATACTCGTAGGTGACTTCAATAGTCATAGTGAAAACTGGGGATCGGAGAGAACCGACCTCAGAGGTAAAGAAATCAACAAAATCCTAGAGAATGAGAATATAATCCTTCTTAATAATGGAGAACACACCAGACTTAACCCGGCTAACGGCCTTTTTTCAACTATTGATCTCTCACTTTCAAGTCCAACATTAGCTCAGCGAATCTCATGGACAACCCTAGTCGAGATATACGACAGTGACCACATCCCTATAAAAATGGAATTACTAACGCATAAAACTTCACCCATCAAAAATCCTCCCAAATGGAAAGTCAAAAACCCTAACTGGAGTCTCTTCACACAATTAATCGAAATTAATTTATCTAGGAACCTTCCTCCAAGGGACTGCCCAATTGATACAGATGTCACGCACATAACTGAAACAATAATCAATGCTGCCAATTTATCAGTAGGCAAAACCAAAAGTTCAACAGCAAAACCTAATGTCCCTTGGTGGAACTCTGAGATAAAAGAAACAATCAAAAACAAAAACAAAGCTCTAAAGGCCTTCCAAAACTCGGGAAAAACTGAAGACCATATAAAACTAAAGCAACTAAGGGCGAAGACAAAATATCTTGTTAAAATTAGTAAAGAGAAATCATGGAAAACATTTACTTCAAGCATTGCACCCACAACCGACACAAATATAATCTGGAGTAAAGTTAGATCCCTATGTGGGCGCAGCAGAGAAAAACACACACACCTAATCATTGAAAATACACTACACACTAAACCAAATGATGTGGCCAACCTTCTCGGAGCATCTTTCCAAACCATCTGTTCCGACGACAACTATGATAACACCTTCCTCTCTAACAACATACAAAATAGGAATAGTCAGTATATCTCAAACATTTCTCCCTCGTTACAAGACCAGATACATCTTAACCTTCCAATCTCTCTAAACGAACTAAATTGGTCACTGAACAAATGCTCTAGTTTATCACCTGGTCCTGATGATATCCCCTACATCTTCTTGCAGAATCTACCACTTTCAGCACTCTCTTACATTATCCACATCTACAACAAAATATGGAACTGTGGTAGGTTACCCAAAGCTTGGAAACATTCAATAGTGATCCCGATAGTAAAACCAGGAAACGACAAGTTCAAGTCAAACAGTTATAGACCCATCTCCTTATTGAATACCATGTGCAAACTACTTGAAAAGATCATCGATACTAGACTGCGGTGGTTTCTAGAAAAAACAAATTACTTAACTCCTCAACAAAATGGCTTTCGAAAACATAGGAGCACCTACAACTCTCTACAAGAGATCCAAGGGAACATCGAAAAAACTTTTCATAATAAACAAGCATTAGGTCTAGTTTCTTTAGATATAGCCAAAGCCTACGATACAACCTGGAGACCAGGTATACTTAAAAAACTACAGAACATCCTATGCAATGGCAACATGTTAAACTTCATAAAGGACTTTCTATCGGATAGGACATTCCAAGTTAAAATCAATAACCATCTATCTTCCATCTTCAATCAACAAAATGGTGTTCCCCAAGGCTCTACTATCTCAGTTACATTATTCCTCATCGCCATAAACGACATATGCGAAAATATTAATTTTCCAGTTCAATCCACTCTCTTTGCAGATGACTTAAATATTCTCTGTAGAGGAAAAAACCCAAATTCCATCCAACTAGCATTACAGAATACAATCAACTCATTAACCCTATGGTCCTCTAAAACTGGTTTCTCCTTCTCTGCTTCAAAATCTCGCTACACCCTCTTCACCAAGTCCAGAAAATTCAAAAAATTAGACTAAAGTTTAAACAACACCCCGATACCATATTCCAAAACCATAAAGATCCTTGGGATTACATTTGACAACAAGAACACGTGGCAGGCCCATTTGAAAGAAATCAGAAAAACAACCCTAATAAAATTGAATATCATAAAGTTACTAGCATATACTTCGTGGGGAGCAATTGGAACCTCTCTAAAACAAATTTACAAATCCCTTATTCTCTCAAAATTAGAATATGGTGCCTTCCTCTTCTCTAACGTTAAACAGTCTTCACTCAAAATGATAGAAACTATCCACAACTCGGGTCTAAGATTCACCACAGGCGCATTCCGTTCCAGCCCAATCCCAAGCATTTTGACTATTGCAAATACCCTCCCTCTCGACCTAAAAATACGGCAAAATGCCATTATCCAAAAAGCTAGAAGAGCACAAAATAACAACATCCCAAACTCGGAAAACATAATAAAACTCAACAATTTTGAATTCAACTGTTCAGAAATACTTAAACACGAACATCCTATCAGTCCTCCATGGGTAATGGAACTACACTTCAACATCGATCTCTCACAACATATCAAACGCGAAACCATGGACAATAGATTCAGAAATCTGGCATATTCAATATTGGAAGACTACCAGGATCACACAAAATTTTATACCGATGGATCTAAAACTGAAACAGGAGTAGGGGCATCGGTATACTACAACAATGTAATAAAAATGATCAAACTCCCTAATTTCTGCTCCATTTTCACAGCTGAAGCTCTTGCGATCTCACACGCACTTGAGATAGTTAAACAACAAAAGATAGACCAAGCACTAATACTAAGTGACTCTCTTAGCGCTCTAAAGAGCATCTTAAATACAAAACAACCTAACACCATATCCAGAATAATCCAAAATCAGATCTCTCTACTAAATATTAATAATCAAATCATTACGCTGCTATGGATCCCCAGCCACGTTGGAATACCAGGCAACGAGACAACAGACATCTATGCCAAAAGAGCCATAACTTCCCCTGATGCCATCTCTGTCCAAACATGTTCTCTGAGTGACATCAAGGGCGTCATACAGGCCCTGACACTGGAAAAGTGGCAATATCGTTGGGCTTCTTCACAAACAAAACTAAACGAAATAAAACTCTCCATTAACCCTTGGCCAACTTACCTCACCAATAGACGTCATGAAGTAATAATCAATAGACTTAGAATCGGACACACCTGGCTTACACATCGCCATCTCATGAGACGAGAAGACCCAGACTTATGTACAACTTGTGGGGAAGCTCTAACTGTCAAACATATCCTCCTATACTGTCGAAACTACGCAGACACCAGAACAGCCCTAAGTATACCTGAGCATCTATATGAAACACTTGGACCCGATCATGAAAATACTGTTAAAATCATAAAGTTCCTTAAAATAACCAAATTGTATAATCTTATCTGACACTTGTATTTGTATTTGTATTTGTATCTATTTTGTACTCTGTATTATTATTATTATTATTATTTATTTTTTTTTTTTTTTCTATTCGTCTTTCTTTCACTTCCAATACTGTACTTCTATATTCTAACCATTATAAATTTATAAACAATCTACATTGTACTTAAGGTTCATAATGTTATTTAGCACCTAATTTAATTTAATGTTTATATTGTACAATATGCCAATAACCTCAGTTGTTGCGGCTTTAATTAAAAAAAAAAAAAAAAAAAAAAAAAAAAACAATATACATACCTTCATACATTATACATTTATTAGTAAATATATAAATAAATAAAATTATAAAATGAACTCTTTGTATTTTATATAAAAAAATATTTTCGGTAACTCGAATTTTTTTTTCGTCCCCAACTGATTCGAGTTACGAGGTTCCACTGTGTATATATTTATAAAATATGATTCACATAATGTATGGATTGGTGTGCACGAAAAATTTGTTGGAGATGAAGTGTGCCGCATTGTTAAAAAGGTTGAAAACCACTGGTTTAAGACGTATCTACTACCATTGATTATAGAATAGATAGATCAGGGATTGGCAACTCGCGGACCGCGGTTCGGATCCGGACTGCGGAAGGCCAAACTATGGACCCTATCAACACATTGTACTTCATTATGTTATTTTCTGTAATAGTATTATTATTAATACAGACAATTATTTAATTTAATTTATCAAACTCAGATTATAGTTATATCATAATTTATTGAAAAATATTTTATCGGGCAGGTAATAATCGGTTTTATTACAATGTTATCGGCCGACGGCCGAGTCGCGACAATACCAAATATTTCGATTTTCTAAGAACTCCGAAGAACCGACGGCGTAAAATTATATTTATTGCTTATCGTTAACTAAATTGTTAACTCTTTAGTTTTAGTACGTGCACATTCGCCGGTGGATACAGTGCGTGTTTCGTTTTATATTATTCGTTCAATATGTTGAGTAAAAAACGCAAAATCGACAGCGAAAATAGGAAGTTTATGAACGAGTGGACTGAACTATATTGTTTTATATTGCCTGAAAGGGTTGGAGACATTCCAGTCTGTTTAATTTGCAATTCAACTGTCGCTATTATTAAAAGTGGAAATTTAAAACGGCATTATGAAACTACTCATAAAGATTTTCATACAAAATTTCCTCCAGGCAGTGAAGTGCGTGAAAATAAGCTCCATGCATGTATGTTATCTTACAAAAATAGTACGACTACACTTATACGGTGTATGAGTGAACAAGAGAAATCAACTGAAGCAGCGATGCGTGTGTGCTGGGTTCTTAATAAGCACCAAAAACCGTTTTCCGATTCCGAAATAGTAAAAGAGTATATGTTGGAAGTGGCCACTGCACTTTTTTAAGAAAATAAAAAAAACCGTCACCTCTATCCAAGATATTCCTTTGTCGGCAATGAGTAACACAAGAAGGACAGAAATGTTGGCAGCCGAAAACAAAAAAAGCTTATTTGAACTTTTACATAAGTCACCGTGCTACTGCATTGCGCTTGATGAATCTTGTGACTTAGTTGATTCTGAACAAATGTCAATTTTCGTGCGATTATTTGACATTGAAAATAAAGTGTTTAGAGAAGAGTTACTAGCAATATTGACATTTGAAGGCAAGACTCGTGGAGAAGATTTATTTAAGAGTTTTGATGACTTCATGAAAAAATCGGATTTGAGTTATGATAAAATTGTGTCAATTTCCATTGATGGAGCTCCAGCGATGATGGGAAAAGAAAAAGGATTGTTAAAAAGAATCCGAGATAATAATTCCGGGATATTAAATTATCAATGCATAATTCACCAAACATCGCTTTGTAGTAAACTCAGTGCTACACTGAAAGATGTTATGAACGGTTTGATCAAGTTAATCAATTTTATCAGGTCGCGTTCTTCTCTTCAACACAGACAGTTTAAAGAGTTTCTGTGTCAATGTGATTCGGCTTATTCAGATTTACTACAACACAATCATGTTCGTTGGCTCAGTAAAGGTTGAGTAGTTGAACGTTTTTGGAACATTAAAGAAGAAGTAAAAACATTCCTAAAAAATGTAGATACTGAAGAAGCAAAGAAGTATTCGGATTTCTTAGAAAACAATCGAAATATAGTTGCAATGGCTTTCTTAAATGACATTTTGAAAGTATTTAAATACGCTTAATGTCGAATTACAAGGAGAAGGGAAATAAATATGTGATTTAATACAAAGTGTGTCTGCTTTCCGTCGCAAACTATATATATTTAAAGGCGATATTGAACAAAAAAAATTCATTCACTTTCCCACAATATTTGAATGCAAAAATTATTCTGAAATTATAAACATCGAAACATTTTTAAGTTTTTTGTCAGATCTTATGAAGGAATTCGATGCTAGATTCAAAGACTTTTCTGAAATAGGAAAACTATCACAATTCTTAAAAACCCCTTACGATGTTCTTCCAGACGAAGAATGGACTGATGTAGCTGAAAAATGATTTAATCTTTCAAAGTCAAAACTCCAAATGGAAATAATAGACCTATAGGAAGATGTTTCCTTGAAGCAGTACAGAAGTGCGTCAACTGAAGAATTCTGGGCTAAAGATGCCATTGACAAGTATTCAAACTGTAAGCAACTGGCAATCAACTTGGCTACGATGTTTGGTTCGAAATACATTTGTGAAACATCGTTTTCAAAAATTAATTTTTTGAAAAACAAATAATCAATGCTACTACGTATAGTCTATTCAGAATAAGAAACGTAGTCGCCGACTAAGCGGCCGACTACTGCGCATGGGCGTGGCCTCACTACGCACACCTGCCTTCGGCACCGTTGCCAGCGAGAGCGTCGAATTATTCTACTGTTGACCAGTGACACGAACTAATAACTTAAAGTATATTTTTTATGTAATAAAATAATTAATATTGTTAATGTGTTTACGTCATGCGTCGACAACGGTCGTATCATGATAAAATGATAAATATTATTATATTATGGGTCGTATGTCGACGGCCGCCGTTGCGACTCGTCGGTAGAGTAGACGGCACAGTGGAGGAAATATATGACTGCCGCCGTCAAAAACTGTTCGCCGCCGACTACGTTTTTTATTCTGAATAGACTATAGTTAAGTATATTTTAAATCATGTTATTATAGAGAGCAAATATATCTGTGTTATGTACTTATATCTTATATTATAATATGTTATTCCAAAAATGATTGACTATATAATATATTAAAACCTGAAAAAATGTTCTTATATTGGAAAAAAGTCCCAATTTTCTAAACTGGATAGTTGGCAACTCTGGATGCCTCAGACAACGTTTATAATGTATTCGTACATCGTCTGACTTTACTATACATGTATATATAGGCGTACGTATAACTGTATTTCAGGGGGTGTCTTCAATACTTTTGGGACATATCACGTGATACCTAAATTAGAGCGTAATAAACGCGCAAGATAAGGCGTTGTATCGGCGTTGCCAACATTTAACATGTCCAAATCCGTATTAATTTAGTCAAATTACCGTACAGACTACGCCCCTCCTCCCCGTTAGGTTATCACATCATCATAGATTAGAAATTTTGATATAATCTGTGCTAAAATTAACTATAAAAAATTAATTAAAAATAATATATATATATTTTTAATTAACTATATTTGCTATTATACTATAATGTATGACGTTTTGTAATTTTGATGTACAGGTTACTCAACGTCCTATAGCAATTGGTTTTCAAATGGTACGCGTCGTATGTCACTAAATATCAGTTGTTTAGCACAGTGAGGTTGATCACTATCGCTCTCGGTGCCAACAGTTTTAAATTATATGTTACAAAAAAATTATATATAATATAAAACGATAATATGGCTAAATAATAATAATATCATCATGAAATAAAGTATTTAACTACATTAATGGGCGTTAGGTTTACACCTCACATTCCGTATTCGATGACAAACTCCTAGCACCAAAATATGATACGATGAGTAACCTGTATATCTTAAATCATGGTAGCGGATAACTATAATCATTGCCGATGTCTACTTTTTCTTGGTAAAAACATTGCATCTATTATGTGGTAAAAGTTTTGCTAACAATATACAAATATAAGATACAAATTCAAAATGACGACTTGCCTGCGATGTGCGTCTAATCCAATATAACCAACATCAGCAAACTAACTGTATGTTCTCGTAATTTCGATAGGTCTGCTAATGGACCGTATGAAGAGCCAAATTATCGCACCACCTCCAACCAAACCGTACGGTTGGCAACGCTGTGTTGTACACCGTATTTGTATACTCCTTCAGTGTACAAAACATCGTAACTTCGTCGAAACAGCACACTCGATTATTACCACGGTTTAAAATATATCTTAAACCATGGTTATTACTGATTTCGGGAGTGGCAATCCATTCTACAGTCTATAATAGAGTTGTAAATTGTGACTGGCTTTGATGAATCAATTCACTCGATTCAATTTATTAAGTCGACTTTTGATTTATCAAGTAAATTATTAATTCTAAATTTATTAGTCAAGTCATATCTTACCAAGTCATGGTTTGAACACAAATCAAACAAATCAATTAAATTGTAAATTGATAACATGTGTTTTGATTGAGCTATCTTACACCCACGATTAAATATATAATGGTTGCCCGGTGGGCTATGAAATTGTGACACTCGAAGTGGCTATCGTGATAAGCAGATAAAACAATCACGCAGCGCTCATAGGCTGCAGTGGACTATTTATATACTGTACTGTCCCACAGTAGTGATGGTAAGAAATAGCAATAGCAGTGATCGCTAAATTTTGTATTTTAGTTTTTATGTTTTCCTAGTTTCCTGCACTGTTTTGTAGCTGCTATTATGTTAGAAGTTAGAACACTCAATATAATATGAAAAATAGCAGTAGCATCTTGGCGGTTGGCAAGACGTAATTCACAGATATAATAATATATAATAATATATAATATATTGAAATATGTGTTATATTTTCTTCAAGAGGATATTGACGTGTATCTGTCTCAACTCCAAGGTAATAGTTAACGTTAAAACTTAATTTAGTCTATAATTTTTCTTGGAAGTACGTTGTATTTTATCATTTCGAATTACTTATTGATCGACTTAATTTTTTTTAAATCTTGATACATTGAATCAGCAATAGAATACAATCTATTTAACAAGAGCTTACGCAATGATAGCTGAGGAACATAGCAATGTCATTGTCCATTTCGAGGTCTATATGAAGGAAAACCAATGCGTGAATTTGACTTGGAAGCAATCAGACGGTTGACATAAGCATATCAAGATTTATTGAATGTGAAATTCGGTCAGTTGATTCATTTGGAAGATGTACTTGGATTATTGGTCAATTAGGAGCAAATAATAGCCATCACTTCTATGTTGGACCGAGTGCGAGACGAAGTGCAAGCCATTTGCTCGGACGTCAATAAAGTCATTTGACAATTTTCTACTTTGGGACGCCATTAGGGACCGAGAGAGAGCATTTGATTTATAAATTTAACGGTTATATGTGCGGGTAAATTTTCGGCATCAATGATGGCCCGTATAAATGAATAAATTGGTAATCCCCAGAAAAATGTCTCCAAAGTCAATTGACTTAAAAAAATATTCTTTTGATTACTTTTTATGTGTATGTCTTATGTATACCATCAGTCAGTCGAAAAATCAATTTAAAAAGAATCACAAGTGTATTTGTAGGTTATTATTAGAAGGTAAAATACAGTATTTTGAGATAACCATGTTATATTGACAGATAAAATTTAAATATAATTTTACTGGTCAAATATATATTAAGGTAAATTTACTGGACCAACAAATCTAGAGTTAATAATAATTAATTATGAACTATAATAGTGTACAATCCATAACGTCCATTTAAACCCTTAAGATTTTATTTCTTTTATTCGTAGGATGATTTATCATTTTCACAACGTCTCTCTATACGAGTAACTAAGTGGCAAACTATCAAATAGGGTGCTAAGTTTGTCCAATTGAATTTTGTATTAATAAATGATATTCTTTATTATTCTATTCTGGCTTTTGAGTATATAGTATACTTTGTGTTAGACAATTGATTACATTAATACTCTACACTTATTTTTTTTAACGATAATATTTTTGCAAAACACTAGAAAATGCTTAATCTGTAAATTTGGTAATTTAGGAACAAGTGGACAATGAATTCGAACGACATAATATAATATCTGGCGAACAGGCTACCAAGGCATATTTTAATGTCTTGACAATATGCAAATGGAATTTCGAATCGACGAACATGTATATATTGGAAACTGCTTTGAGTTATTCGATACACTTTAATTGGAGTTATTAATAATGCATAAGAGAAGCTCAACAATAATGGCGATAATGAAATAATACGAAAAAAATTTGTTAAATTAAAATTAGAATATCTGAAGAATATTTTAGATTTCTCTAGGGTAAATTCAAATTTACAACCGGCAAAGTTGATCGAAGAATTAGAATCTGAGAATTATCTGCGGGATGAAAAATACTTTGTTAATATGATTTTTAAAGAAGAATTATGGGATGAAGTTGAAGGATTGCAGGATGATGTCGAAGAAGAATTGCGCGGTGATATTGAAGAAGATTTTTTTGACGAAGATCTTATCACGTAACTTCCATAGAATTAGAATACTGGTAATAAATTATTATTATTACTATTTCTGTAAGAAATGAAAATATAATATTTGAATAAAACTAATTTATCAATAACATTTTATGTGTTTTAACTATCACTCACAATTTTTCAATTATGCCCTTTATAGGGCATAAGGCGCTTTTGCTTTGTTCGAGTCAAAATTTATTTTCCAGATTCACATACATACATATTTAATAAATTTGAAAAGAAATTTTTTTTTTTATAGTTTGGAAGTTATAGAGTGGTAAAATAGTTCACCACTGATCATCTAGATCTTGTAATAACACTATATAGTTACTGGTAAATTATTTTAGCAATTACATATCTTAATAATTGTTAAATATAAATTAAAATTAATAATATTTATAACTAAATAGTCTTCAAAAAAGCAGTACAATCTCACTATATAATCTTGTGATAAATGTTTACCTGAGAACTATAAAACTATTTTTTTAACGCTATTAGTTTCAAAAATCTTAGAAATAAGTACACACCAATTTTATAAAAATAAAACAGTTTTACTTAGTACTTATCGTGGTCAAATGATAAACACATTGTGTTTATATAAAAAAAATTGTATAATCATTTTCTTCTTGTGTCAAGTTTAATTGGATATAATCATTCATTTCTTATGATTTCAAGTTTCTAAAGTTGACGACAAAACTTATAAGTACGGATGATAATTGACAAATTCAATGACACTAATTTTGGCGGGAATAATTTTTATCAAATTCAGCTGGTTCCATTTCAGTCGATTCATAAAATAGCAGATTGCTGATAAGTCAATCTGCTTGATTACCTCCCCTCCAACGGATTGGCCATCTGCCGTAATTAGGAACAGTCAAAACCAGCGGCTGACCAATCTGATGAATTTAGGAACACACGGATAGATTCGATTAATTTAATCCATTAAAGAGAGTCGTCTTTACATTTTTACTGTTTAATACAAGAAATAATTATAAATACAATATATGACTAAATGTCTTCACATGTACATCAGTTTTTGTAACCGTGTACGGTATAGTTCGTAAACTCTACACTGAGTGGCGGCGCCAGAGAACAGTCAAATTGGTGTGTGGCCTCTTCGTGGACGAACTATACTGCTGTGTTCATAGGCGGTACTACGGGAGGGGCAAGGTAGGCGGCTGCCCCCCCTGCGAGTTCTTACTCTCTCAATACATTTCAAATATTGGTTGGTAACCCCTCATATTACATGCTTATTTAGAGTCTGCATGTTTATAAGTAATAATATTATTATCTACAACCGTGGGAGCCATTCATGTAAATATGCTGATAAGATTTTTTGCGTTAACATTTTTAATATTATTATAATTTATTTTTATCATTGATAAATCATGAACCAATATTATTACTTTATTATTATCTGTATCACTAACGTTTTGTATGATTTTATACTTTGATTTTAAGTGTGTATTTTATTAAGTATTCTTGAGTTTTTTGGATAATATTAATTATAATAAAAATTATGAACACAAACCAAAGTAAAAAAATAAAAACTTTATACGACTTTTTCATATAAGAACCATCGTAGGCGGCTCTATGAAGTGTGCTAGGTGTACCTCGGCACACCCTAATGTGAATAATGCGAATAAAAAAATTGAATAATTACAATTGAGAATATATGTGCATACACATTAATTAAATTTTAGTTTTTTGTAAGTAATATTGCAAGTGTTCAGAATTAATCTGAAATAATAATTACGTGTATATTTTATCAATCGTTATTTAAATCATTAACAAAGCCTTTATTTTTAGAATTAAAATTATAACACGGTCTACACGTAAGTGTTTATAGCCTCCTCTTTATATTTTGAAAAAATAACCAAAAAATGACAGGGCACACTCAAATGTATCACTCTGGGTCCGCCTATGAGAACCATCACAGGTAAATTGTGGTAAGTTATTATTTTAAAATTTTAAAATAAAAATGTAAGATAAAATAATATAAATTTAGGTATTTGTAAATGTATTATTTATTTTACAAAATAATCTATTTTGAAATAAGTTAAAATAGTTATCAATAAAATACTTTTTTTATAGTATTGCTAGTCCAAAGAATTAGACAAAATAGTGTTAATATTTTACTTAAAGTATTTCCTCCCCCCCTGCCAAGAGGGTTTAGTACCACCTATGACTGTGTTAATTAATTATTTAACTATACCGTACACCGTACATAGTTTCAAAAACTGATAGGATATGGGGATTAGCATTTGAAGTTTGAAATATTTCATTTGCAATATTTAATTTTAAAAAAATTAAAATTTTAAATTTAAAATTAAATTTCACAAAAATGTGAAACATTGAATTTATTTTTAATTATTGTTGTTACTAATAGGTCTTATTAATTTGTTCTACCTAAAAAATGTGTAATAGGTATACATAAAAATTAAATTTATATAAAATAAAAACAATTTTTTTTAAAATACTGAAATATTTCATAATCTTATATTTCATGAAATTTTCATACACTAACAGGGATCAAATAGGCATCGGAGATAGTTTCCCCCTCAGAAGAAATATTGAGAGGGTAAACATATCGATTTGCCTCTTCCTTAGTTAAATATTATTTAAACAATTTTAAATTTTTATAAAATATTAATGTTAAAATTACTTTTGTATAAAGTGTGGAATAATATATATATTCTTAATTAGATAGTAAGTTAAAAGTTAGGTGGAATGTATTAGTTAAGTTAAATGTGAGAAGATTTTTATATGGGTCAGTAAATTGTGAATTAATATTTGCCCCTCCCCTCCCCATAAATTAGAAACAAGTTGATACATATGATGGGAATCTTAAATCAAAGTATAAAAGATTACAGATACTTTGCAAATAGATTTAAAATACATATCTAAATAACTTAAAACTTATAAAAGTTGAATATAAATATATTTTATATAATATATATATATATATATATACATTCTTTTACCTAAATACTTGACAAGGTTGATTTTTTTAATAGAAAAATAAAATGTATAT